TGAATGACTTGCATCTCCAAAATCCCTTGCCCTCAAACTTGATTTTTCGCACAAAAGCAAGAGGCCGCTGCTACAAACCCAACATGTAGAACATCAGGTCCCGGACACCTAAAAACTGGGGCTGTGACACAAAGCAGAACATCTCCCAGGCAGGTGGCTTGGCAGAAGTCATTTGCAACTAGTCTCCCTAGTTGTGTTAAGTGTAATACAGGTGCTCTCTGCTTCCCTTTCCGTGATTTGACAGTACTAAAGGATGACCTGATCTTACAGATGGTTGACATTTTCTGGTCAGATGCTGAGTCCTTTTATCAAGCACTTGGATTCAAGCGGGAGCAAGCCATGCCGCGCATCACACCAGAGCGTTCCTTTAACAAGATGTCCCTCGAGCCCAGTGGCAGGTTAGGACTGTAACTGAGCAGTTGTTAGCTTTAGCATTCCTGTTTCGCAGACAAACATTCGGGCCCTATCAAAATTTTCACACGTTGCAAGTTCTTTTTTCCCCTTGTTAGTATGGGATGAGGTTTGGGAGGCAAACACAACACAATCACAGACTTTCCCTTTAAAAATAAAAATTCAATGCGGCCTTTTACACGAGTCAGTTTAGGAAGAGGTGTGCTAAGGTGCCCTGGATTTCGCACAAGAAGTCTTCCAGACAACGAGTGCACAGTGTTCACAAAGAACTGGGTGGCTGTGATGGGATGGAGGTGGTCTGTGGCAATGAGCGCTCTCCCGTGTCCAAGAAATTGTTCAAAGGAGTCCATTTGGACTCCCTGTCCCTCCGCGGTCAGGGGAAGGGCAGTACGAGAGTGGGTGAGAAGAGGCAACACTCAGGGAGTTCCTTTGGGAAAGCCCGGCTTCACACCTACATTCTGAAAAGATTGCAATCCCAAGTTAGAAATCTTGTGTTTTTTGCTTCTGTTAGGTTATTTTGATTTCTTATGATTCCAAATGGTTGCTCCCTTACAGAAAAGGACCATGCTGATTGCAATTGTAGCTGCTTTTCCTGCTAACTCATTCCAAAGGCTGACCCAAACCATTACATTTTAACCTTCTAAGTTTAATTAGGAGGAAAAAAAATTGCATTACACACATTCATCAGCAGGGAGTTTACCTTCCTTTGTGAGGCCTCCCTCTCTCAGGCACCCCTGCAGCTGTCCTTCTGTTCACTGTGGAATAATCTGGATCCAGTTCATACCCTTCGTCATCAACCCCGAGGCTGCGGTTATCATCCTCCAGTCCATAAGGCTCTGGCTGGAAACGTTCTGGCTGAGAGCGATTCAAGTCAACATTGCTGCCTGTTGGCACTTGGGGTTGGGCCACGGGACCGTAGTTATCCCGCCTACTTGGCAAAGTGAAACTCCCATCCTCTGGTCGGTAACTGTTTCCTGGAACGTAGGCATAGCGAGGACGGTAGTTGACACCACGGGATAAACTGCCATAATTATCAGGCAGCTCTCCATAACCATCATGGCCAACATAAGGGCGGTATTGCCCATCATGGCCATCAGGGTAAGAATCATTGTAGCTATTATAAGATCTGGTTAACGTGGATGAAGCCTGGGGCGTGATGTACCGCTCCCCATTCTTCATATACCTCCTGTCTATTGAATCTGTGTAGCTACCCATGGGAGATGAGCCATCCATGGTAGGCAGGCCATCAGGCCCCAGTGGAACCTGGCGCACTGTTCTAGTGGTGACAGTCTTGACCATTTTTGTGACCTGGAAAGAAGAAATCAAAATAGATATTAATATTTTCCTCCTGACTGGTGGTGGTGCTTAAGTTCTATGGGGACTTAGAGGGAAACTCCCAATGGTGAGATCTAAACTAGTCTAGAAAAGGCACTAGAAAATATTCTTGAAGAACAACAACAGAGGCTCAAGACACTAAACTGGCTAATATTTCATAAAAGCACACATCGTTCCATTTTAACAGAAGAATCAAAGACTAAAAAGAAAAAAGTTGTAAAAATTCTACCCCATTCTTCCGCTCACTTAGGGGTAATAAGTTATAAGTATACCCAAAAGAACATTGGTGGCTTCCTGTTGCTCTCATGGCAACCCATGTAAGATTTTGGGGACATCAGTAATAATGAAAACCTTAAGTGCAGAGGTAAGGCTGTACCTATCTAGATGAGCTACCACAGACCACAACTATCACTAACTACCACAAACCATACCTATCTATATGAGGCTCCACAAAATTTCAGGCAGCCCTTTGGAAAGTATATTTATGCATGACATTTATTTTTATATGATTTTGTCTTCTTATAAATCATGTTTTATTACAACCCTAATGGCATTAAATTCTGTTCCGGAATTTTTTGCCTGTGCCCTTTTAGCCAGGAGTCTGAAGCAGAGGAGATGGACAAGCATCATCCCAACCTTCAACTTCTAAAGAGAAGAGCAAGTCCTATTTGTGACACCTGGCTAAAAGGACAAAGGCAAAGGATTCCCATCGCAGAAGGTGCATCACTTCCAAGAAGTGCTTCCTTTGTCATATAAGAATTGCTGCACATTCACCTCTTGATCATATAAGGACCAAGAGGTGAATGTGCAGCAAACCCCCTAGTTCAGGATATTTCACCAATGGTGGCCAGTAAAAGCTGCTTGAGAAGAGGTACAAGAAACCTTCTACTAGGCAGTTATTAGGCCTGTGTGAAGTGGCTAGTATTCGTTTTGGATTTGTATCCGGCTGATTTGGGGGACAGTGGGGACAGTGATTCGATTCAGTGATTCGAATCATTGTTCCGATTCGATTCGGCTGAATCTCCGAATCAGCCAGGCCAGACCCATCCTCAGCCTGCTCTCCCAGCCTGGCAATGGCTGCCCTGCCTGCCCCAGCTCCTGGCTCTTTGGGGAAAAAAAGCCTCAACTCAGCAGATGCTGTCAGGCAGGAGGTGATCTCTGCTGCCCCCTGCTGTGTGGGGGGGCTCTTCATGAGCCCCCCAACCCCTCCCCCACTGTCCTGGCCCCATCACGGGTGCCCCACCTGGGCCAGCTCTGGCCTTTTAAAAAAAAAAAATGAGG